CTCCAAACAGGAACGTGGATCCAACGGCGACAGTCTCCCACACCGCCGCACTTCCTCACAACAGCAGCAGCCCCTGACTCGACAGCCGAAAGCCGACACACAGCACCCAGGTCCACCAGGCTCTCGAAGGCAGGCCGTCAACCAGCAGCCACCGCCCACAGACCCGAAGCCAGAAGATCGGCCTCACGGCTTCAACAGTCCTCAGAGCCAACGACATGACACCGCATCACCCCCGAGCAACAAAAGCGTGTCGATAATCAGCTATATTAATTTGGCCCATTAGATTTTGAATTGGTTGTTTGAAAAATGTATAGCTCCCGTGCAGCGCAGCGCTCATCCGCTCCATCCGCTACGAGGCGGAGGGAGGCCATCCTCTCATTCACCGGGGTGAATCCCAACACATAGGCACCAAGATGGGGGGCAATAAATATGCCCTCTCCTGCTCGGCGCCTCTAACCAGGGGCAACTCCAGAGTGGAAGAGTGTCCAACCCCTCTCAAGGAAACTTGTTCCAGAGCCAGATCCATGCGTAGAGGTGAGTCCGATTATTTCTAGCTGGAACCTCTCAACCTCACACACCAGCTCAGGTTCCTTCCCCACCAGTGAGGTGACATCCACATCCCAATAGCCAGCTTCTGTAGCCAAGAATCAGACCGCCAGGGTCCTCGCCCTCTGCCACCACACATCCCACATTGCACCCGACCCCTTTGGCCCCTCCCACAGGTGGTGAGCCCATGGGAAGGGGGACCCAAGTCTCCTCTTCGGGCTGTGCCCGGCCGAGCTCCATGGGTAAAAGCTCAGCCACCAGGCGCTCGCCCGCGTGCCCCACCTCCAGGCCTGGCTCCAGAGTGGGGCCCCAGTGACTCACGTCTGGGCGAGGGAACATCCAGTCCAAACCCACACATACAAACAATAAAAAGCAATATCATACAGGTGGTTGTAAAACCTCGTACACCACAATGTTTTTTGAGATTGGATGCTGAAGTCTTGTAAGCTGCTATCACCGTAAAGATCAAAGTTTGCATCTGGACGCTGTCTCCTTTTTACCCTATGTACATGAAAAATTCCTTCAGGTACGGCCACGGGCACTCAATTCAATTCAGTTTATTTCTATTGCGCCAAGTCACAACCTAAGTTGTCTCAGGGCACTGTACAGAAACATTCATATATAAAAATAATAATTTAACATTATTTATCTGAGGAGCAGACTGCTTTGAGTTTAACTCCATCACAGAACTCTCATCTTGAACAAGCATGAAGGTGACAGTGGAAAGGAAAAACTCCCTCAGGAGGAAGAAACTTTTAGCAGAACCAATTCAATTCAAATTCAAAAATACTTTATTAATCCCAGAGGGAAATTATATGTTGTGGTAACTCATCATCCTGGTTTCATTAAAGAGTTGTTATAGATGCTGATGGCTGTGGGCAGGAACGATCTCTTGTAGCGGTCTGTCCTACAACGGATTTGAAGAAGCCTCTGACTGAAGACACTTTGTTGTTGTATGACAGTCTGATGAAGAGGATGCTGAGGGTTGTCTATAATCTTCTTCATTTGATGAAGAATCCTTCTTTGAACAATCATCTCCAAAGGTTCTAGAGGAGTCCCCAGAACTGAGCCAGCCTTCCTTATGAGCTTGTTGATCTTTTTTAAGTCACTTGCTCTGGTGCTGCTCCCCCAGCAGATGATGGCAGAAGAGACAGCGCTCTCTACAACAGACTTATAGAAGATACGCAGCATCTTGCTGCAAACGTTGAAGGACTTCAGCTTCCTCAAGAAGTACAGTCTGCTCTGCCCCTTCTTGTAGACGCTTCACTGTTGCATTTCCAGTCCAGTCTATTGTCCAGGTGAACTCCAAGGTATTTATACTTCTCCACCACCTCCACTTCTTCTCCCATGATGGAAATAGGGTTGGACCTGTTCCTGATTCTCCTGAAATCTACAACCATCTCCTTTGTTTTGTTCACATTCAAGATGAGATGATTGTTTCCACACCATGCCACAAAGCGGTCCACCAGTTCCCTGTACTCAGCTTCTTGTCCATCTCTGATCCACCCGACCACTGCAGAGTCATCTGAATATTTCTGCAGATGACAGGAGTCTGTTTTATACTGGAAATCTGAGGTGTACAGAGTGAAAAGGAATGGTGAGAGTACAGTCCCCTGTGGTGCTCCTGAGCTACTGACCACCTGGTCAGACACACAACCTTTCAGTCTCACAAACTGTGGTCTGTCCATCAGGTAGTCTTTGATCCAGGCGATTGTTGAGGCCTCCACCTGAGTCTTCTGGAGTTTCTGACAAAGCAAATCAGGCTGGATTGTGTTAAATGCACTGGAGAAATCAAAGAACATGACTCTCACAGTGCTGTCTGCCTTTTCTAGATGACAGTGAGTTTGCTGAAGCAGGTGTATGATGGCATCTTCAACTCCAAGTCCACGCTGATAAGCAAACTGCAGTGGGTCCTGATATGTGCTTGTTTGTCTAGTCAGGTGGGTCAGCAGAAGTCTCTCTAGGACCTTCATGATGTGGGATGTCAGGGAAACAGGTCTATAGTCATTGAGGACTGATGGGTGCGTTTTCTTTGGCACTGGAACAAGACGGGATGTTTTCCACAACACTGAAACCTTCTCCTGGGTCAGGCTAAGGTTGAAGAGGTGCTGAAGAACCCCACAGAGTTGCTCTGTACAGACCATCAGGACTCTGGGACTGACACCATCTGGACCTGCAGCCTTATTCCGGTTCAGTCTTTCCAGCTGCTTCCTCACCTGACTTCTGGAGACGCAGAGGGGGGAGGCAAAGGAGGTATCAGCATCTTCTGATTTAGTTGAAGACCAATATGTAGAAGAAGTAGTAAGAAGTAACCAGGCTCTGGACAAGCGGCCATCTGCTACGACCGGCTGGGTTTGGTAGGAACAGATACACAATGGCAGGTCAAGAATCACTGAAATAGTATCAAATGAAAACTATTCAATTTTAACAATTAATTTAAGGAAATTAGGTCAGTTTGTCCTCTAGTAGTCTAAGCTTAAAGCAGCATGACAAGCCAACACTAACTATAGGATTTATCAAAAAGGAAAGTCTTAATCCCAGTCTTAAAACTGGACAATGTGTCAGCCTCATGGACAGAAACTGTAAGTTGGTTCCACAAAAGAGGAGCCTGATAACTGATCTGCTTCCCATTCTGCTTTTGGAAACTCTAGGGACCGCGAGTAAATCTGCAGTCTGAGAGTGATGTGCTTTAAGAAAATATGGAACAATAAGATCTCGAATATAAGATGGAGCTAGGTTGTTGAGAGCTTTGTAGGTTAGAAGTAGGATTTTGAATTCAATTCTGAACTTGACAAGGAGCCAATGGAGAGAAGCTAAAACTGGAGAGAGATGATCTCTCCCACTAACTCCAGTTAAGACTCTGGCAGCAGCATTTTGGATCAACTGAAGACTTTTTAAAGAAGTATTTGGACACCCATTCGTCTTCAGCCTTTACCTCGTCATTTTCTCTGTTGACAGTTTGTCCTCTGCCTCTATTTTGGCTTTTTCTCCAAATCCTCAGTCCATAAATGACTATCTACTCTACAGAGTTGTCCTTTGCTTACGTCATAGGTAATTGGTGCGTTCGCGACACTTGAAAGAAGTACTTTAATGAGTATTTCTTTCAAGTACCCAAAAATCTACTTAATTACAGTAATGTGAGTATTTGTAATTCATTACTTCCACCCCTGGTTAAAACACAACTGTATACTCCAGAACAGCAAAATGACAAAAGTCCTGCTGATAATTTGATCAGTAGCTCCTGGATCATACTGAACATCTGAAATGGCAAAGGTGGATTTGGTTTCATCCACGGTTTACCCTCTTGGCTTTGTTGTTGTTTATCAAATAATTTTCTGGACTTTGTTTTTGTTCACTTGCGATTAGAATTGAGTAATTTTAGAATCTGATACAAACAATTCAGTGTAATTCAATTCAAAAATACTTTATTGATCCCAAAGGGAAATTATTTGTTGTTGTAACTCGTGATCCTCATTTCATTAAGAGACATTGTAGATACTGATGACTGTAGGCAGGAAGGATCTCTTATAAAGGTTCATCCCACAGTGGATCCTAAGAAACTGGCTGCAGATGCCGTCTGATCCGTCCACCCAGACATGGCTGGCCTCTCAGTTCCCCTGGGCTGTAGAACCACCTGAATGCCAGGCAGAACTCCTCCCAGAGCGATGACCATTTCTCCCAGCAGTCTGCTGAGCTCCTTGTCACTGTGGACAGCCAACTGTAGGTGCCGAGGGACGATCCTGTACTTTCACTGGCATGAGCCGTGTTTCCTGCTAGTTCCAGGATCTCAGTGGTCAGGCACTCGAGCACAGCTGGCAGGTAGATGAGAATGCATCCACAGAACATTATTTCAACTCATTTGAGATTTGGGGCTGTAGTTGAGATATTATTTGAGCTTTTGAGATGTCAATCAGCTGCTGTTGGTTGTAGAAAACTGCCTTGTTGCCATGGTTACGCTTCATGACAAATGTCCAAAACTAAAAAAGTTTCAGTAAAAATCCTTCCAGCTGCTTAGCATCTGATACCAGAGGAAACGATCATCCAAAAAATGTGATTTACATCCAGAAAAAGAGGAATTAAAGTTTCCAAAAGCAAAATCTCAGAATGAAAGTAAGAGAACTGCTCCAACATGCAGCCACCTGGAGCAGCGCAATTCTAGAACAATTCTAGAACAATTCTAGAACAATTCTAAAACCAGATCTTTTTCATGTTCTGATTCTTTAAAACCCTAGAACTGGAAGAAGGTGGACTTTATTTTCCCTGTCTGTAAATTGCCTTTTTTAAATCAGGACACAGGATTTTGATAGAGCGGCTTATTTTGAATTTCTTTTGATATTTTTAACGATCTCCAAGTTTCATATAGCTAAAGTCAGTGTTTTATTGAACATGTGTGTGGCTTCCTCTATTGTTCAATTTGTGTCACTGTCTCTTTAAAAGCATTTATCTTTTCTTAGGCTCTGGTCCTGGTAATCTTTCAGCCACTGGTCCGAAAGACTCTCCTCAGTCAAAGACTATCAAGGTGAGTCCACACAGAGAATAATCACATTGCACACATGAACCTCAACTTTCTTATGCATGGATGGTTAATGAGTGTGTGTGTGTGTGTGTGTGTGTGTGTGTGTGTGTGTGTGTGTGTGTGTGTGTGTGTGTAGAGCTTCCATCTGCCTTTGAAGGAGAGCTGTGTGTCCTGTATGAAGACTGTTTATCCTCTGGAGAGGCTGGTGGCCAACCAGCATGTCTACCACATCTCATGCTTCCGCTGCTCGCACTGCAACACCAACCTCAGGTGAGCCAGACTCAAACTGACAAGCAACAGTCAGCTGAACCAGCAGGATGTTTAAAGTCCAGAAAAATTCAGAACAAATTTCTGAAGGGTGCAAACCCATCTTCTGTCCAAAATTCTAACATAAATTTTATTATGATCTAAGCTCTATAGAATACTTGCTTTAAATGTGATGAATTAGACAAGAAAATAAAATTTAGCTTTACCTGAACTGCTACCTTTTGCCTATTTTCCGTTATCCAGTCACACAACTTGCTTCATCTCTATTCCGTTCTACACAGCTTTGGTTGTTTTTGAATTCAGTGGGCAAAATTGTCATAGCAAGGCTGTTCTACAACAGCATTACTTTCACACTGTACGTGTTAAAAACATGTACTCCACTGCATAAGTGAAATAAGTGAAATAAAGTGACAAAACACTCACTATACTCTGCTAGTTTCCAAAATGCTGTGGTCGAGGCTTGTCCGAGACCATAAATCAAATGCATTTGGTCTAGATTTGTCTGAATTCTCTCATTCAAAGACTATCAAAAAGTCATCTCTTCCATATTTACACAGTGTTGGTTTACAAGTTTATACTCCATATATATATATATATAAATATATATATGATATAGGCCCAAACGTCTTAGA